CCCTAGAATCTCTGAATAAACTGTTGAGTATTTATTCTAGTACCAACTCCTGAGATAACAAATTTTGTACATTCGTTGCCTTCAACAAACAGTAAAACTTCCCTTTATTTCTTCTAATAACTGCTGCTTTCAAAACTCAAAGTATTAAGTTTTTATTCTGTGCACTAAAACTGATTGGAAAACTCTGGAACTTTCCTTCTCACATTTTTGACGTGTGAGTTTCCAGGCCTGTCCTCTTAACCTTTCTTTGTCTTTGCGGGCTGCAGAGTTCTGTTTTTTTAGTCTCTTATAATAGCCCTGGGAGAACCTCGCTGCCCTTCTCTGGATCTTCTCTCTAGAGAGGCAGTAAGGGACTATACACAGTGCTCCAGATTCAGCTGTATCATTGTTCTCTATAAGGGAATAATGTTTTTTGTCTTGTCACAGAAAAGCCTTCATGATGACACCTGGCCTGGTGCTACTGGGTCTTCACTGTGGCAGCATATTAAGCCAGGGTCTGGCAACAGCAGAGAATCACTCCCTCCTTCTCACCCTGCCCCCCTTTTTTCTGTCTCATTGTGCACAGTTATCATTTAATGAGTACAGTTAGGATCTTTTTCCCCAAAAAATGTAAAACTGTAACTGAAGCTCACCTGTCCTTTCTTTTTTTATAATTTTTTAATTATTTATTTTTTAGTTATTGGCGGACACAACATCTTTGTTTGTATGTGGTGCTGAGGATCGAACTCGGGCCGCACGCATGCTAGGCGAGTGCGCTACCACCTGAGCCACATCCCCAGCCCTCCTTTTTATTTATATTTATTTATTTATTTAGGTCAGCTCACGTGGTCTGGAAATTCTCTGGTAGTTTACCAAATCATCTGTGGTGTTGGGTGCACTCTCTTGCACAATTTCCGACAGATCTGTCCTATCCTCTAACACTTGAGCATTTTTCCGTCTAGAGAAATGCTTGTTTATTTCTGTTTATTTTCCCTGATCCACGGTCCCTTTATGAAGAAGCACTTTCCTTTATTGGTCTCCTCACTCCCTATGTAACTTAGCCTCTGAGTACAACCTTGCCAGGAGCATTTTAACATCCAGAGTTCTGGTCACTGGCTTTCTATGTGCTGTAATAAACTATTTTGTCCCAGTTTGAAAGAACAGTTTTCCGAGATCATTAGTCAGATGTGATTTTTCTCTTTGCTGGAAGCATGTTGATTTTCCTTCAGCTGGTCCTGCTGCTTCAGGCACTCGACAAATGACCGTCATAGGAATGACTTGGGCTTTGGAGTCAGGCGGGCCTGTGACTGGATTCTCTGTTCAAGGTTAATGGCATGATGTGACCTTGGATGGGTTACTTAACTTCTTTGAGCTTTCATTGGAAAAATAATAATAGTATGCCTCTTGCTGGGTGCTGTGGTGCCTGCCTGTAATCCCAGCAACTGGGAGTTGAGGCAAGAGGATTGCAAGTTTAAGATCAGTCTGGGCAACTTTGTGGGACTGTCTCAAAATAAAATAAGAAGAACTGGGGATGTAGCTCAGTGGTAGACCATCCCTGGGTTCAACCTCCAGTGTCCTCCTCCCACAAAATAGTATGCCCCTTAAAGTAGACCTTGCCAAAAATTAATGTACTAACAGTCACCTGGTGATCTAGGTATAAGGCATGTTCTGATTCTCTAGGTCTGGATGGTTTAAAAGCTTCCCAGGTGATTACACTATGCAGCAAAATTTGAAAACTAATGTCTTTTTTTTTTTTTTTTGGTACCAGGAATTGAACTAGGGGCAGTCAATCAATGAGTCACATCCCCAGCCCTATTTTGTAGTTTCATACAGAGACAGGGTCTTATTGAGTTGTTTAGCATCTCCCCATTGCTGAGGCTGGCTTTGAACTTGCAATCCTCCTATCTCAGCCTCCCAAGCCACTGGCTAAGGTCTTTTTATTAGGTAGCAAAGAGTAAAGAATGATAGAGTCACATAATATGCTGAGAAAAGTGCAAGAACCCAGGCTAAACTGGACACATGTGTCCCCAATTTGGAGATCAGACCACAAACCAGGCCCCTAAGGAATCCATTTCCCTGTAGTTAGAGCAGTTACCCATGGTCCTCAGTATGTAGGGGACTTACTCTGTGTAGTTCCTCTCCTTTATCTCACCCCTACACAACCCCACCCCTCCTGCCAGGTTTCCCGGATGCTCAGAGCCTGTGATAGGGAATATAGGTTGATCAATCACAGGAGCAGCTGGGATATAGCCCCTGTCTGTTCTCAATGAGTCAAAAGAAGAAAGAGAAAAAGAGGACCTGGAACCCATCTGAGTCCCCATGGAGGATTCCATTCAGTTCATCAAATGCCTATTGAGTACTTGCCATGTGCCAATCTGTGATAAGACCCAGGGACCTTGAGGAATGAGTGATACATGATTCCTGTCTTGAAGGAATCACAGCAGAGACAGGATGTAGACACATAATGGTTCTCTTGTGGGAAAATAGTAGGAACATGTCCTGGTTATTGAGGAGGCCTAAAGGAACAGCTTTGAGGGGATCAAGGAAAGTTTCCCGGGATGCTCAAGCTGAGTCTTGCAGGACAAGTGGCAGTTTTCCAGGTGGATATGGAGTGGGAGGAAGAACCTTGTGAAATTTGGGGGAAGCCACAGCATATCGCAGGAGCTAGAATTCTTCGGCAAACCGGAGCGCAGAGCCTCCGTGGTCAGCGGAGAGTAGGAAGCTGAGCCAACACCTGGGGCCTGTGGCAGCTACAGACCTTGATGCCCTCCTCTAGGGAATGAAGACCCACGGAGTCGTTTGAAGCAGAAGAGTATCCGTTCAGACTTGTGTTTTCGGAGGATTCCAGAGGGTATCATGTGAGGCTGGACGGAAAGGGAAACTGAGGCAGTGGGGAGCCCATAGCAGTGGTCTAGGTGAATCAGAAGGGTTGCAAGGAAGTCAGCAGGTGTTATGAGGACAAAAGGAAGGAGTCGCATGGGCTACACCAAGAAACAGATCTGATGGTGTTTAACGACTGGCCAGATGATGGGGATGAGATGCACAGTGGGGATTAGCTGAGGGAGGTAAACTGCCAAAGGTGCCGAATTTCAGGAGTCACTCTCAGGGTCGTGTAAATGCAACCCTGAACAAGAAGGAGTCAAGAAACCAGGCATTGGTGGTGCATGACTGTAATCCTAGTGACTTAGGAGGCTGAGCCAGGAGGATTGCCAAGTTTCAGGCCAGCCTCAACAACTTAGACCCTGTCTCAAAAAAATAAAATAAAAAAGGACTGGGAGGCTGGGGTTGTAGCTTAGTGCTAGAGTGCTTGCCTAGCACGTGTGACACATTTGATTTGATCCTCAACACTGCATAAAAATACATAAATAAAGGTATTATGTCCATCTATAACTAAAATAAAAAATTATTAAAAAAAAGGACTGGGAATATAGCTCAGTAGTAGAGCATTCCTGGGTTCAATTCCTAGTACTACAAACAAACAAAAAGAAGGCATCAAGGGCTAGGGTTGTGGCTTAGAGGTAGAGCACTTGCCTAGCATGCGTGAAGCACTGGGTTCAATCCTCAGCACCACATAAAGTAAAATAAAGACATCGTGTCCACCTATGACAAATAAATAAATAAATAAGGCATCAAGATGAGTTATGTCAGTGATGTGGTGATGGGTAGATGATGAGACCATTAACTAGGGGCACAGGTGGCTGTGGTGTGGCAGTAAGGACAGCTGGCATTCGAGAGCCCCTTCCTTTCTCCTTGGCCTCAGATAATATGCAGGCTGGTGTCCTCGTGCTTCTCTGACTGGCCCAGTTCAAGTGTCTGACCTTCCCAAAGCATCCCTTAACCCGTCTTCTGCTCTGTCCTCAGGGATGGGGCTCTCACAGGTGGCTGCCTACTTCCTCAGTCTGACAGCAACCTCTGCTTTGAGAGCCCTCAGGAGGTCAGCTGGTTCCACTGGGAAAAATTCCAGTGGGTAGACAGCCAGTTTCTTCTGGTGGCTCAAGGTGATTTCAACCTTCCGGAAGGCCTGCGATGAAATCAGAGGACAGCTGGCTGCTCTGGGACAGCACCCTCTTATTGGCAGTAGTGACAGAGCATTTTATGGAGTCATGATTTATACAAATCCATTATTAATTCAGCTTCCAGTTCCAGAAATACCTCCTGTAGGCCTGTGCCAAGCACTCGTTGGGACCTTTTGCTCTCAGTGAGGCTGGGATGTGGGTTCAAATCTCACCTGCGTTACCTCAGGCTGGTTGTTCTCAACATCTTCACTTGTTAAATAAGTAGAGGAATAGTCAGTCCCCTTAGAAGATGATGGAGATCGCGGCTGTTGAGGGCTTAGTTCAGAACCTACCAAATAGTGCTTTCCTTACATCTGAGCCATTCTGGAATGAATGTGGCGTGGTTCCAACACTATAGACAGGAACTCAGTAGAGTAACTCGCCCATGGCTTCCAGCCTCGTGGGTAGAGCCCAAGTCTTTCAAGCTGTCTCCAAAGCGCTCCCTACCTCTGGGGCCCCATTTTGCTGCCTGTTGCTGCAGAATCTCTCCCTGGGATTTTGCTTCTACTTTCCACATCAAAGATGAGACCCTTTCTTCCTGTCCACGGAGAGAGCTGTCTTTCTGAGTCAGGAGCCATTTAGTGCAAGGGCTGGGCTGCCCAGTGACTCGCTTTTATCTCCCCCTCCTGAATACCATGTGGGGCCTGGTTGCTACCCACCCTCCTTACAGGCTCTGTGAACCAACCTTCATTCTGTATCCAAAGCAAATAGATCAGGTGCCCTGTATTCCCTGAGGGGCTTCCTCTCTTTGCCTCCCTAATGGTCTTGTCAACAATGGGAGCCTTGTGCTAGGGCTCAAGAAGCCGGAGGGGAAAACTCTATTCTCATTGAGGTCCACAAGGCCCTATCTTGGACACATCTTGTGTTCACTCCTAGAAGGATTACATAGCAGGGAAGAATAATGTCTGAGCTGAGGATGCTGTGGCCCCCTGCAAATCCTATCTCTGAACCTCTCTGTGTCCTCAGGCCATGGAGAGCAAGCTGCTGATCGGTGGCAGAAACATTATGGATCACACCAATGAGCAGCAGAAGATGTTGGAACTGAAGAGGCAGGAGATTGCTGAACAGGTAGGGTGACCCGTCTTCAGGGCCCCTTGGGGTACATGTCCTTGAGGTAAATGCCTGGGGTTTGGAGGTGAGTTCATAAACTGTAATGCTCTAAGGTCCCTGGAAAACATAGTGCTGAGAATCTAAGACATGCCACTCTGGGTCTCATGGGTCTGCCAGCCAGAGGTCTTCGGGGCACTGCTAGCTGGTAGATGAGAAGTGGAGGACTCTATGATGTCAGCCTCCACAAGGAACTTGGAAGGAACTCCTGGACCTTCCACAAGGCTGTGAATTCATTGCCAACTATGTACCATTTCCTACGTCCTCAAGAAGCACAATTTGTTGGTTACCAATCAATAGTGACACTATGTAGGACAAGTGAGAGATGGCTTGGAAGTCAGTGTGACGGGCATCTGTGTATGTGGGTAATACCCCTGGAGTAGGCCAGCTGTTAAGGCTGGGGTCTCCATCCACTGGGGGCAGTGCTTGCAAAGGCATGGCCATGGCAGCTGAGGAGACCTCGAGGTCCACTGCTCCATGGGTGGGAACAGTGGACATGGGTCGTAGAATGTCCCCTTTTCCCTCCTGGCACTCGGGGTTATGGTGAAGTCAGTTTCCATGACAGAATGAGCCAGTCCCCTGAGCTTCCTTGGCCCTTGCCCAGTACATGCTGTCCCATTGAAGTCCCCTTGCCCTTCCTTGGCCTAGAAACGTCGTGAACGCGAAATGCAGCAGGAGATGATGCTCCGAGATGAGGAGACCATGGAGCTCCGGGGTACTTACACCTCCCTGCAGCAGGAGGTGGAGGTCAAAACCAAGAAACTCAAGAAGGTGAGATGCTGTAGCAGGATGGGATCAAGATGTGCTGAGAGGGCTGGGACTGTAGCTCAGTGGTAGAGTGCCTGCCTTGCACGTGTGAGGAACTAGGTTCGATCCTCAGCACCACATAACAATAAGTAAATAAATAAAGATATTATGTCCATCTACAACTAAAAAACTATTAAAAAAAAAAAAGTGCTGTGGGCCCAAGAGCCTCTGCCCAAGACAGTCACCTGCCCAAGGGGTGGTGCTTCAAGGAGTCCTCCCACTTTTACATGAACTACTGAACCCTGAGCTGTATAGCCTGGGCCAGTGGAGTGAGGAGCAGGGAGGAGACAGGAGTCTGGGTGGGGTGGAATAGATACTTTTCTCCTGGACCAAGTTGTTGGGCAGGGTTCATAGGCTGTAAGCTGTCACTTTTAGTCTCCAGTGTGCCATACTCAGAGTCCTTGGTAACATCCTCCCTTACAATGTCATCAGTGAATCAGTTTGGATAGCTGGATCTGGAGAAGGACTAGAGAGCGTAAAGAGACCTGAGAAAGAATTAAGCCTGTGGAAGCCTAGAAAGGGAGCCAAGGCCCTTTATACCATGTCAAGTGATAAGAATCTCTGGTCACCAGGATCTTTCAAAGTTCATGGCAGGGGAAAGATGTATACATAAGATGGAGGTCTAGGGCAAGAAGTAGCAAACTCCCACTTGGATTCTGGGAAGCACTTGGGAGCTCCCAGGGTTTTTGATGTGGCTGTCCCAGAGCTGGCCAGGAGAGGCCTAGCCACACCACTACCTGGGAAGTTGTCATGGACATGCTCAGTGGCTTAGGAATGGAACATGAGGGCCAATGCCAACCTCCACATCCTGCTGCCACTTTTGGGGACCCCTGGAAAGTGGGAACCAGTCACCTTCCCAACTTGCTCAGCTTCCAACCCAACCCTGGTTCTCCAATGAGATGGGGTCCTAGCTCTTCCATTGAATAATTGTGTGACCTTTTTGCTAGTCTGTGCCTCAGCTTCCTCCTCCATTCAAAAGAGGTTGTTAGACCAAAAGGTCCCTCAGGTTTCCAATGTGAACATTCCATGATGCTTAAAGCGGCTAAGAAAGAGCAGGTAATCACGGCAGGCCTCAGCAAAGGGAACACAAAGGCCCTTTAAATAGCCCGTCTGATTCACGGGAATGAGGCAGCACCGGGAAGTTCAGGCCAGGATCCCAGCCTCACTGCCAGCTGAGCAGGTGGGTCCTGAGCCAGCAGCCCTCAGGGCCAGGCTGGGTGACTGGGGCCTCACTGCCACACTGGGCAGCTTCTGAGCTGTACCTGTCCCTAACCAGCTCTACGCCAAGCTGCAGGCGGTGAAGGCAGAGATCCAGGACCAACATGATGAGTACATCCGCGTGCGGCAGGACCTGGAGGAGGCGCAGAACGAGCAGACCCGGGAACTCAAGCTCAAGTAGGGCCGGGTCCTTTTCTGCCCCCAGGTCTCCACAGCCACCCTCATCCTCAGGGTCTCCCTGACTCTTCTTCCCTAAGGCCTAGTCTGACTGTCTGCTCACCCATGATTCCATGTCTCAGGAATAGACCGTGTTTGACGCAGGATAGGCCTAATAATTCTGGAGTTTTCTTCTACTTCCTCAGTTTGATTTTTTTGGGAGGTGGGGGTGGGGAGCCCTGTTACCATTGAGCTATATCCCTAGCCCTTTTTAAAAATTTTTATTTTGAGACAGGGTCTCCCTGAATTTCCCAGGTTAACCTTGAACTTGTGATCCTCCTGCCTCCATCTCCCTCGTAGTTGGGGTTACAGGCGTGCATGCCAGGACTCAGTTTGAATTTGAGGACACCCCCCACCCTGCAGCCGTGTGGCATGCTAGTGCTGGTCAAGAGTAACCCTAAAGTCTCTGGGCCCACAGTCTTTGTATTAGAAGCGGTAGTTTTCAAGCTTCATTTTATTCTGGGGGGATTGGAGGGATCCCTATTCCCCCACCTTGGGTTTTGCGCGTGTGCACACACGCGCACACACACCGCAGTTCCCTCTGCCTCTTGATTTATTGTTTCTAATCCTTCAGCCTTTCCAGCACCACGGGCACTCTCCCTGACCCCATTTCTCATCTCTTCCTTACTCCCACTCCCAGGTACCTAATAATCGAGAACTTCATTCCCCCTGAGGAGAAGAACAAGATCATGAACCGGCTCTTCCTGGACTGTGAGGAGGAACAGTGGAAGTTCCAGCCGCTGGTGCCAGCTGGAGTGTGAGTCTCCAGCCCGTTGTCTGGGCCCAAGGCCTTGCAAGCTCTTTCTAGGTTGTGGGTGGTAAGAGGCTTGAAGCCCCACCTGCTGGTGACAGATGTTCTAGGACTTGGGAAGGGATAAGTGGGATGCAGAGGGACCATGGATTTCTTACAACCTGATTTATTGGGGTCTCCCTCCATGAAGGAAGGGTATTAAAAAAAAAGTCTTATTAGCCATGAGCCTGGCCTGAGATGCAAAAATGCAAAAGCAACCTGCAAGAGGCCTGGCAGGGAGGGGAGAGGGACCTCTGGCTTCTTGAGAGTCCCAGTGAGGCTAACTAACATCTGTTCACTTATGGTGAATACTCATTTGTCAGGTGCCAGAAATAGCAACAACAGTTAATATTTGCCCAGCCCTGCTGTGTCCTGCACCTGCAAGACTGCAGACAGAAGATAAATCAGACACAGTCTGAGCTCATAGTCCAGTGGGAAATATAGAGAAGTAATCAGATCATGACATGATAAAGGCATGATTCAGTCTTCACAGCCTCACTCAGCTGGGTGATTCAGCATTTCCACCTGTTTCCATCTCCTAGTGCTTAGGTGCAGCTGCGTCCATTAGCTGGGTATGTAGCGCCCTCTGCTGGTATTCGGGAAGAACAAGGCTGAATATCAAAGCCTAACAGGGTGACCAAGCTGGACTGCCCTCCCTTCCTTGCAAATCTGTGTAAAGCAATGAAGGGACAGCACTTCCCTGTATTTGCTCTCTCTATCCTAGGAATATTACTTCCAGGAAGGGCAGGAGTCTCCCTAAGAGCTGGGTGGGAAGTTATCAAATGTCTGTAGCTTCTCACTGGAGCATCTGATGTCTACTTGATCTCTCTGCTTTCTGAAGGGCTGGTCCAACTTGTGTAGTTGTAAATGCCAAAGTCATGAGTGGGTTGCTAAGTAGATCATGTACCCCTCTAATACAGAGGCTCTCGACCTGGCCACAGATAGAAATATATGTGAGTTGGGCTCCAAAGAGTTTAATTTAAAGGATCATAGTAGATCACAGAACACCTCCCGCCCCCCGCCTTTAAAGTTTCCAGGTGATTCTACAATGAAGCCAGGTTCAAAAATTACATTACTCTAGGACTATTTTCTGGAGGTAGATGCTGGTGAGGCTTCTGCTTTATAAGGTTATTTTGTACTTAGAGAAGTTCTTGAGTCGAAGGTTTGCAGATGGAAGGTTTTTTTTGTTTTGTTTTTATTTTTGTTCTGGTATCAGGGATTCAACTCAAGGGCATTTAACCACTGAGCCACATCCCCAGCCCTTTTGATTTTTTGAGACAGGGTCTCACTAAGTTGCTTAGGCAACTTGCTAAGTTGCTGAGCTGGCCTTAAATTTGTAATCCTCCTGCCTCAGCCTCACTGGGATTACAAATTGTACCATCATGTGCAGCAAGAATTTCTTAATATTTTGATGTAGTCATGTTATCAAAGTTCTCAACTACAGATGGGGTGAGAGAAGCTTTGAGAACGCAATTTTTTTTAAATGTATATATTTTTTTCTAGTTATAGATGGACACAATATCTTTATTTATTTATTTTTATGTAGTGCTGAAGATCAAACCCAGTACCTCACATGTGCGGGGCAAGTGCTCTACCACTAGGCCACAACCCAAGCCCTAGAAGGCATGTTTTTTAACTTCTTATTCTGGAACATAAGAATTGGAAGAAGAGTGCCAAGAATTCCCTTATACTGTGCACCAAATTTTTAACACTTTGACATATCTTATTTTAATTCCCTCTGTCTCCCCCGACCCTAGTCATTTGCGATTTAGTTGCAAACATTCTAACCCTTTACTTGTATTTTCTAAGAACAAGGACATTCTCTTACATAACCAAAGTACAATCACCAATTTCAGGTTTTCCTCCATCTCCACCTGAGATTATGTATTTTGTTTAATTATTATGCCTTGTTAGTTTCTTTTAATCTGGAACTGAGGGTTTTGATTTGAGGTTTTTTTTTTTTT